CATTTCTCCCTCCTATCCCCCAAGCCCCCTTGCTTCCAGGCAGATTTTCTTTTGCCCTCTTCTTCTCCAGTTTTGTTGAAGAGAAAACATAATAAGAAAGACATAGCATTTTTGCTAGCTTGAGATAAAGATAGCTATACAGAGAGATTCCTAGCATTGCTTCTATGCACATGTGTATTACAACCCACATTGATTCATCTCTACCAGACCTCTTCACTACTTCCTGGTCACCTTCCTATAGTGGCCTCTGCCAGTTTAAGATTACTTTATTAGCTCCTCTATAGCGGGCACATCAACCACATTCAAGTTTTAGATTTCCTTCCCTTTCTCTTTTCCTCCTGTACTTGTGTTCTCCCCTTAGCACGTGACTCATGTCCAATAAAATTACTGCAATTGTTTTAGGTCTATAATCCACATATGAAGGAGAACATACAATTTTTGGCCTTCTGAGCCTGGCTAACTGCTTAAGATTATGTTCTCCAGTTCCATCATTTACTTGCAAATGACAAAATTTCATTTTTCTTTGTGGCTAAGTAAAATTCCATTGCATATAAATACCACATTTTCTTAATCAATTTGTCAGCAGTGGGGCATCTTGGCTGTTTCCATAACTTGGCTATTGTGAATAGCGCTGCAATAAACATGGGTATGCAGGTGCCTCTGGAGTAACCTGAGTTGCATTCCTTTGGGTATATCCCTAGGAGTGGGATTGCTGGATCATATGGCAGATCTTTGTTCAGTTTTGTAAGAAACCTCCATATTATTTTCCAAAGTGGGTGTACTAGCTTACATTCCTACCAACAGTGTATGAGGGTTCCTTTTTCCCCACATTCTCTCCAACATTTGTTGTTGGTGGTGTTGCTAATGATGGCTATTCTAACAGGGGTGAGGTGGAATCTTAGTGTGGTTTTGATTTGCATTTCCTTTATGTCCAGAGATGGTGAGCATTTTTTCATGTGTTTTTGTTTTGTTTTGTTTTGATTTTTTTTACCATTTGGACTTCTTCCTTTGAAAAGGTTCTGTTTAGTTCAGTTTCCCACTTTATTGGTTCATTGATTTTGGGAGAGTTTAGTTTTTTGAGCTCCCTGTATATTCTGTTTATCAGTCCTTTGTCTGATGTATAGCCAGCGAATATCTTCTCCCACTCTGTGGGTGGAGTCTTCAGTTTAGGCACCATTTTTTTTTGTTGTGCAAAAACTTTTTAATTTCACGTAGTCCCATTTGTCCATCCTTTCTCTTAGTTGCTGGGCTGCTGGAGTTCTACTGAGGAAGTCTTTGCCTATACCTGTTGCTTCCAGAGTATTCCCTGCTCTTTCCTGAACTAACTTCAGAGTTTCGGGTCTGATATTAAGGTCCTTGATCCATTTTGAGTTGATAATGGTACAGGGTGATAAACATGGATCTAGTTTCAGTTTTTTGCAAGCAGATAACCACTTTTCCCAGCAACATTTGTTGAAGAGGCTGTCTATTCTCCGTCATATGTTTTTGGCGCCTTTGTCAAAAATAAGGATGTACATAGCTGTGTGGATTCATATCCAGGTCCTCTATTCTGTTCCACTGGTCTTCATATCTGTTTTTTGTGCCAGTACCATGCTGTTTTTATTGCTATTACTCTGTAATACAGTTTGAAGTCAGGTATTGTAACACCTCCAGCATTGCTCTTTTTGCTGTTCGCAGTCTCTTGTGTTTCCAAATGAACTTTAGGGTAGACTTTTCAATCTCTGTGATGAATGTCGTTGGGATTTTGATGGGAATTGCATTAAACATGTAGATTACTTTTGGTAGTATAGCCATTTTTACTATGTTGATTCTACCAATCCATGAGGGTGGGAGAGCTCTCCACCTTCTGTAGTCTTCCTCAGTCTCTTTCTTCAGAGATTTGTAGTTCTCCTTGTAGAGGTCATTCACATCCTTTGTTAAGTTTACTCCTAAGTATTTGATTTTTTTTTTGAGGCTTTTGTAAATGGAATTGTTTTCTTACATTCTTTCTCAGTTTGTTCATTGTTGGTGTGTAGAAATGCTACTGATTTTTGTAAGTTGATTTTGTATCTAGGGCTGCATCTGTAGCCAGTTCCCTGGCTGAGCCTGCCCACACCAGCCATGTGCTGCAGAAAGCTGCACAGAGCTCCTGACCCACCTTGCCCAGGCAAGAATGACTCTGCTGCACACATCCTTTCTGTACACTGCCCCTGAGGAGTGCCCTGCAAAGCCCATCACCTGGGTTTGCCCACAGCTTCCTATCACACCAACACAGCAATGTCCGAGGCCTCCTCGGGCCTTCGAGGCCCTTAGAACCACTTGCTTTTCTGAGGATGCTGTCTTGAGAAGCTGTCTGAGCTGGGCATGGTGACTCAAGTCCTTAGTCCCAGCTACTCAGGAGTCAGGGGTTGGAAGGACCATGGTTCAGGGCCAGCCCAGGCAACAAGCTCGACCAGCAGCTGGAGACAGTGGTACACACCTGTCATCCCAGCTACACAGAGAAGCACATGCAGGATGAGCACATTCCTGTCTCAAAAAATAACTAACACAGAAAATGCTGGTGGTTGTAGAGCTCAAGTGATGGAGCACCTGCCTAGCAAGTGTGAGGCCCTGAAATCAATCTCCAGTACCACCAAAAGAAACAAAAAAAAGGTTTTTGGCCGGGCATGGTGGCATATGCCGAGGTTTCAGCCACTTGAGCAGCTGAGACAGGAAGATTACTTAATCGTACAGTTCAAGACCAGCCTGAGCCATATACTGAGCGCTTTAAAAAAATCACACTTTTTTGAAATTGCAAAATAAACCCACCCCTACAGAGTACTTACCAGAATGTGTGGCCTCTGTCTCCTCCCACTAAGAAAGCCGTGTGCTGGGTTAGGAACCAGCCCGCTGCCTCCCTGGCAGAGGTCAGTCCATACCTGAGCAGCTTCGTGCATCATTTGGGTCATGTGGGTGCAGGAAGGTGGAGGTGGCGAGAGGTGCAACACCAGGGAACAGAGGGCACCATGAAGGCACAGACAGGTCTGCACAACTGCAGGCCAAGCCTCATCACCCAAACAGACATGGGCATGTGGGTGTCACACTCACTTGGGATGTAATTCCCTTGTCATTTAAATTTGGTGGAGCTGAAAGGAACGCTTTTGGGCTTTGGAACTTCATCTCATACTAAATAAAGTAGAAATGTCAACCATCTTCCTATTTACCTGGAGCAAGGCAATGTCATTCTGCCATCCAAGCTAAATAGTACCCCTCTGCCTTCAGCGCACATTCTAGAATGATCTGGGCCTGGTGTGTCACACCTGCTGAGCAGGTCTGGCTCATACTTAGACTCTGGTCCTTGAATCCAGGGCCAGAGGAGTGGGGGAAGATGCAACCATACCACAGCCATAAACTAAGGAGGTTCAGACTGTTCTTGCAATGTTTGTATTTCCTTAATTAAGCTTTGGGTTGAGAATGCATCTGTCACTCTCCTTTGTGGAGGTAACCATTTGTAAATCAGTGCACTGTTGCTTTATAATGCAGGCAGCTGTCTCTATGAGGCAGTGGTAAAAGCTCTTCACTGTGATTGAGTGTTTCTGTATAGCCGCTCAAGGGGTCAGGTGGGACCCACCAACTGACATCATTCCATAATGTGCCCTAAAAATGAAAAGTAGCTGCTGAGGGTCAGAAACACGCATTTAACATGCTCCCTCTCATATCTGTGACGAGCCATGGGCACTGCCCCTCCCAGTGATGCTCAAGCATTTCAGTGGCACAAGTCCCTACAGATACCACAATGCCTTCTCCAAACCCCTCACCAGCCCATGAGAAGCCTCCTTGTAGTGGGCTGCTGCAGCCCACTCACTGTATAGACCATTTAGAGATAAAAATGACTTCACAGAGGGGAGGGACCAATCTGAACCTAAGAAAGGTGCAAAGCAGGCAGCCTCCATGCTCTGCCTTTGCCACCCTCACTGCAGGCGGAGCTTCTGTCCTGTGTGCGCTTGGCATCCTGCCACGGGAAACACCTTTCTTCCCAGGATTTCTCTTCTGCTGTTCCTCTGATGCTCTCCACTCCTCCCCCAGAATCTGGGGCCTCAGGCAGCATCATCCCCTCCTAATTGGTTCAGGCAGAGCTAGCTAGGATTCCTGGGTGTGGTTCTTCCCCCCCAAGAAAAGCCTGGGCACTTGGCACAGAGCTCCAGGTACAGTCTGCAGTGAGGAGATGACCACATGCATGTTGGGCTAGAGAGAAGTGCAGATCTGGACCTCATCCTGTGCACATCCCCACAGCCCTGGGGACAGCTTTCCTGCCTGAGTATTTTTACTCAGGTAAAAATACTCTGGTGCAGAGGCCTGCCTTCCTGATCTTTGTTCCAGTTCACTGATCTTGCTGAACTCCCAGAGTAGCCAGCCTTTGCTGCGGTCAAGGCCCCACTAGACCCCACTCCTTCCTCTCCTGTCCCTTGCCTCTTCCCTTCCTGGACTCCCTCTGCTCCAGGCTGGGAAAATTCAATGGCACACCAAGTGTTTCTTCCCTGTCCATTTCTGGTTTCATCTTACTTATCAGAAGACAGATTAGCTGGAAAATGTCATTTGGCCTGGTTTGAAGTCTAGCTTGAACCAGCTAGACTCTCTCCAAGGTCACAGTGTGTCCTCTGAGGCGAGATTCACAGCAAATTGTTCTCTGGTTTGTATTAAAAAAATGACCTCAAGGCAAAGGAGGGTGCCCACTGCCATCCTCGTCACTACAGAAATGAGTGAGGGAGTGGACGCCCGTTAGTGTCCTGGTCCACTGCATACCCTGCCTCCTGGAGGATAGCCCCTGGAGAATGTTAGCCAGCGAGGGGCTCTAATGAGGGAATCCCGTGGTCTGAATCAGTAATCAGGACTGCTCGTGAGCCTTTTCACTTACCATTTCTCCATTTCTCCCTAGCAAATAGTGGTTACTGCTAAGATCCTTTCTCTTCATTCTGCCCTTCAAAAATAAATTCTCATAGTGGCCACAGCAGCTTTTCTTCCAGAGAAAACCAAAACCCAGAAGAAGCAACCAAAGGTTACTAACCAAACAATAAAAACTATGCAGACTGACAGCTGCACAAAATTTATTTGGTACATTAAAAAAGGCCACAATCTCTCGAGTGCCCTGGAGGGTGAAACTGATATTTCTACGGAAGCTAGTAATTGCTCTTATGTGTAGCAAACTTGATGATTTTTAAAAGAAAACCTGAATGTCCCCATGTGTGATGTCTGGGAATGCTTTACAAGCATCACACAACCAAATTCCACCTGCCGCTGGAGACCAGGGCCCGGCCACTCACTGCCCCTCTTGAGTGATAGTTGTCACAGCCTGAGCAGTGTGCATGTGAACTTTCCTTAACAGATTGGTTTGATTCCAGAGAAATTTGCTGTACCTATAATATTTTATGACAGAAGTCTAGGTGCAAATCCACTTTTGGTTTTGTTGTTCTTTGAAATGACTGCAGATCCTGGCCAACTTAGAGCAAGGCTTAGCTGAAGACGGAGGCATGAGCAACGTCACGCAAGAGAGCAGGCAAGGTGAGTGATCTCCCTCTCTTAATTGAACAGCTGTCGGAAGCCACCAAGGCTGGTCCCCACAAGCTTTGTTCTCTCTCCCCTTCTCTCTGTCCTTGTTCAACAGTGTGTTTGTCCACTCACCCATTCTCTCACTCATCCCTTTCCTGGGAAAGCCAAGCACTGTGGCTGTGCTACAGGTGTACAGATTTAGACCTTAGCCTCCTTACAGGGAAGATGCACCTTACCCCAGTGGTCACAAGTACAAGAGAAGGTTCTGACCAGGGATGCATGGGAGGCCTTCCATGTGGGAAGAACAACTTACCCAGCCAGCTCTGTGGCCTGTGGCCTGTGTCAGGAGGGAACACAATGGGACACAGGTGTACGAGGGTAGGGCAGGAGGGGGAAGAAAGGCTGCCACAAGTGTACACCCTCATTGGCCAACCTTGCTGTTCTGTTTTGGAGCAGTAGAAACTTCCTGGGGTACTTGGGGTGGGCTGCGGAAGCAGATTTGCATCTTGAGAAGATTATTGTCTCAGTCTGTTTGCTGCTGCTGTCGCAAAATGCCTGAGATGAGTAACTTATGAAGAATAGGGCTTAACTGGCTCATACTTCTGGCAAGTCCCAGAGCATGGCACTGGCATCTGGGGAAGCCTTCTTGCCACCTTCATACTGGGTAGAGGGAATCATGTGGTGATTCCTACCTCCAGCCTCTCTTCCTCTTATAAAGCCACAGATCCCCACATCAGAATCTCGTGTAATCCCAGTGACCTCCAGAGGCCCCACCTCCAAGTGCCATCAGCATATAACTTTAGGAATTAAGTCGCCAACACATGAAGTTTCGAGGGATGCATTCACACCACCGCAGTCATTGTGGCTGCAGCATTCTGAGTACGTTAGCAAGGAGCCAGATTCCAACCATGCTTCAAACCTGAGTCTGGTGTCTGTGCCTAGTGGCCCCTCCTCACCTTCTCCTTACTCGGGTTACTCCCCCACCTCCAGTCCTCTGCTCTGTGCCTGTCCATCTCAGTAAACCCCTCTCATCTCAGGCCTGCCACTAGGTGTGCACTCTACTGGCAGTAGGGACTCTGGTGAAAAGCAGAAGGAGAGAATCTGAGATAGGACACCAGTCAGGTGGCCAGGACAGTGAGAGGGTTGGCGAGGATATGGGGGTGCCTTCCAGGGTCTAGCATCCTGGCTCCCATTTGTGCCTTAGGTGTGTCATTTGAGAGACTCTATGTGGGAGGTGGGAAGGTTGTGTAGTGTGGGTGATGATTGAAGAGTAGGTCTCTGGTGAGTGGTGTGTGTGATGTGTGAGGTGTGTTTCTATGGATGGATGTTGTGTATGTGTGATGTGGTGTATTTATGTGTGCATGCGAGTGCTCTCCTTTCAGTGCTTCGATTGCAGGCTGTGAGCACTGTATGGAGGAGAGACCCCCTATTCTCCCATGTGTTCCCCCTCTGGTTGTCTTATTGCCATTGGGATCCTGGCTTATGGGAAGGAGCACATCATTACTAGGTACCCAACAGCAGCCCCAGAGATCTGAGTCACAGCAGAAACAGATTTGTACAGATCTGGAGCTGGAGAGGAGACCGCAAAGGTCCTCCATGTCACGCTCAAGCAAATGGTGCTGCTCAGAATGCCTTCTCCTCAACAAACACTGACAAGGGAGATACAACCAGCTAATGTACTTCTAATTGCTGGGAGGCAAAGAGAATTCGCAGTGCTATCAGTTAAGTGTGACTGAAGAACTCCAAGAATAAGCATGAATTCCAGGTGACTTCAGGTGGCCACAGCACTGACAGCTTCATGTGCAAGCAAGTCATTCTTAGAACCTGAGCCATCCCTAGAAGTGGTCTGGAATTTGTGCCCAGGCTGACAAGAGTGGGCTGTTGTTCCCATCCACCCACCTTGCAATAGCATTTTTCCCTGTGTCTGAGTCACAAGTGGGATAGACAGCCCAGGATGAGGAGCACCAACCAGGGCCAGTGGCTCATCCCTCCCTCTCTGAGCTTCGGCCCAGTTACCACATACTTTGAAGTCATCTCACTCCTTATGGTCTCCATGTGTAAATAGAGCATTAGACAGCCCTCCCCTCACCCAGGCTGCTGCCAGACCCCAGGGAGTCCATAATCCAGATTGAAAACCATAGAAGAGATGAACCTTGAAGGAATGGCATCAACGCAGGAAAATAGGAGTTTGCAGTTCCTTCTGGAGCCAACCACAGGCAGCTGCTACACAGAAGCACTACAGGTGGTGCCTTGTCTGGCCTACATGGAAAGTGCTTTTACCCTTTCAAGTGGCACTTTCGTACCCATACCAGTGTTTATTATCACTAAGTCCTGATAATAGGACAATAAGCAGAAATTGTTGCTTCCACTTGAAAGATTAAAGAACTGAGAAAGCCTCAGGAAGATGACAACCACTTTCCCCAGTCACAGAAGTAAAACAGCCAGCCATGTGTTGACACCCAAGGGTAGCCTTGTGGAGAACCAACTTCTCCTCTAGTTCTGGGTCCAGGAGGCAGGAGAGGCCTTGTCACTGGACATGGGTAGGTTCCACGACTGCCTTCCCACAGGCCAGCTCCGCAAGTACCCAGCCAGCCTGGGCAGGGGGCCTTCCCAACAGGGCACAGCTGCAAGCAAATGTGCATTGCTCACGTCACACTTGCTCATTTTCTTAGGGCTGTGGCTTGGAAATGGGCTCCTGAGTGGAGTGTTTGATCTGTTGTCTGAGGAGAGGCTGAGCACTAACCCTCCTATATTTGGGTTGCATCATCTGTGCAGATGGTCTCTTCCCAGAACCGTGAGACAGCGCTGTTTTCTGTGTCCAGGACAGCCCACAGCACATTAAACATTTTGGGCTGAAACCCAGCAGTGTTAACAGAGGGACCTTTTCAGTCAACATAGCCAGGCCTTGTAGAAGAGTGGTTTATTTGCACACTCACAAGCTGCTTTCTCCCACAGCCTCTGTTCAGCTGTGGAGGTCACGTCTGGGCCGGGTGCTGTACTCCATGGCAAACTGCCTGCTGTTGATGAAGGTATGTGGGCAGTGAGCACAGCATGCCCTGTGCTTTGGAACAGGGTGTTGGCGGGAAGACGCAAGGAAGTGTTGTGCATCCCACACCTGGAGGAGGTGGGCAGTGGCCTGGACAGAGTTCAACAAAGGCCTGGGATGCCCAGTAGAGCTCAGTGACCCTTGGGGGCAAATTTACTGCCATTTCTGCTGAAGGAAATTTCCCCAGAGAGCAGAGTTTGTGTTATCAAGTTAAATTGGATCCAAGTGATGCAATTAAAATCCCTTATTCGTCCTTTGTTTTCCTCTGACTTCCATCCAAGAAAGGTGTCCTTTGTCCTCCCTGCCGTAATGAGGTGGGGTTTTCTCATCCTGACTTAATTTAATGATGAATATCTAGAACATCAGAAGGCAGGCATCCCCTAGTCCTCTTCTGAGGACTTCACCCAGTGCCTCCCACTGAGGAGCTGGCGATGATCGATGATTGAGGTGCTCAGCTGAGCTATCAGTCACTCGAGTTTCCAGGCTATTCTTGCTCCTCACAGGCCCTGCCAGCCTGCAGCCTGTGTACCCATGGTTTTCAACTTCTCTTTTTTCAAATCCACCCCATGCCTGGCTCACCTCCCACCCTGGGCATGGGTGTCCTGCTGCCAACTGCAGCACTGAAGCTGCCACAGGAATCTGCTAGCAGCAGATTCCCCAGAGCAGCACCAGCAACACCTTCTGGACCATTTGAGATGGCTCATCGCTCCACCCCCACCCAAGGTCATCTCCTAGCTCTGCAGCAGCAGAGCAGGCAGTGTACCTGGTACATTGCTCCTGGCTCCGTTTAGCCTGACGTGGCAGCCCCATCTGTAATGGGGCCTTCCACAGCCTGGAGGTGGCTGGATGTGGGTGTGGCCAGCTAAGTCTAGTCAGGAAAGTGAGTGTCACTCCTCTGCTGTAGGGTAGCCACAGGGCCCACAGGTGCTCCTGCCTCTGCTGCTCCTCAGGTGCGTGATGGGGGTGCAGATTGGAGAAGTCACACTTGTCCTCTGTGGCAGGTGACCTTGACACAGTTGGGAATAATTAAAATCCTGCCTGGCTCTGACACACAGCTCCTTCCTCACATTTCAGAACATGAGATAAAGGGAGTAGTTTTTAGGAGTTCTGTGAGGGTTTTCTTCCCTCACCACATCTGGCTGAGGTATTCCAAAGTGCCCATTGCCTACAGGACCACATTGTTCCTCGTCCTTCTCTGCCTTCATCACAGAGCCTGCCCCTCAAATTGGTTGCACTCTCCCAGGCCCAGGAGCTGCTCTTGTCTGCTGGGCCCTCCAGCACAGGCCAGTCCCCCAGTGCTGCTGTGGCTATCCTAAAACCCACCTGGCACCCTGAGCAATCCAGTAAGGCCTCCACCCTCAGGCTCTGTCAGCGCCATCCAAAATTCCCTGAATTCTGACTGCCAGACATGGTTATACAAAGAAATGAAGAGGAAATTATAAATCTGCTCCACTGTTGACTCATTAATTGTGGGGTCAGAACTCCTCAGTGGGGAGGCCACCTGAATTTTTAAGATGCATTCATAGAGAACTATGGAATAAAAATGCTTTTTTTGTTGTACTGTAGTGACACCAGGCACCAAATGTAAGGCCTCTACCTGTATTGTTGGGACTCAGTGCAGAACACACTATTGTATTTCAGAAATACTTTTATTATGAATATAGGTTAATTTGAAATTTGTTTCATCTTTTATTTCCATTGGTTAAAGAGTGAAAAACATTGCAATTAAGGTTGTTCCAAGCACGTGCGTTCTGTTGCCATCTAGTGAGAATGTCTGGTATCGCAACAGTGGGTGGTCTTAAAGATGCAGTCCCCTACTTATTCCATTATGTGTATGGACTAACAACGGGTTATTTAATCAGCCATTTAGTTATTTTGCATCACATTTCTATTACCGTGATGTGTTAATTTATTATTGATGAGAAACCCAGTCATAAGTTCCAGGCCTGAGTATCTGCATAACAACACTATGAGACCCACTTGTCTGTGTGACAAGGCCCTGGAAACCCCACACACCCCATTTGTAAATGCTGCTTCCACAGGCTTCACGGTGGCATGAGGTACCTGCGGTAGCCTGAGGTACCACAAGGATGTACCTGCTCCCTGAGTCTGCCTCCCTCAGCACCTCCCCAAGTCCACGACCCTCAGGTGTCCCTACCTTCCACTCCAGCATCACCACCAAATAATTTGACTTCTCCCCAGGGAAAGGAGCATACAGTACGAGCTGCCTCCTCCTTGCTGGTTAGTGCCATGTAAGGCCTCTTAGTACTAGGATGCCGGTGAACTGCTTTTGCAGCCACTTGGCTGCTGTAGCTGCTGTTGGGAAAGTGGAGGTCATCCCTGTACGTAGGCATCTGTGTCTCTTTCCAAAGCCAAGTCTGTGATCAGGAGAGCAGAGCTCACACTTTCCCAAGAGCTCCTGTCAGCATGTTCTTTTCAAGGGGCTGTGTCCCCTCTTCTTTGAGTTAATGAGCAACCTCACTAAGGAATAATCATCTTAAAGAAGCCCTGTGACACAGCCCTAAACCTATTCTGGTTTATTTGATGATGGGCTCATTGAAAGCGGCCACAATTCATCCCCTCTGGCATAGCTGGCTGCTGTCATGCCTGGGGGGATGGCACTCACTTTTGTCACCAGCCTCGCTGGGGTGGTCACTGGCTGCCACAGTGTGCCCCACAGTCCCTTCTCTGCTGCTGGACTGGATTCCAGCTTCTCACATGGCTCCAGAGCCTGTGGATCTACCCAGAAATAATCCTGGTAGAGCAGTGAAGGCCACCAGTGAAATAACTTTTCTTATTGAAGATCATTGGTTTCTTAAAGTCTGTCCTTTGTTGTATCAGACTGTCTTCAGAAACATTGGCCTCTAACTTCCAGCACTGAAAGAGAAGGTCATTAAGGCAGTGATGCTGGCCAGAAAGCCATCCCATCAGGGCTCACCACCTGAACCACTGCTGGCTGTCCATGCTCCCACCCTGCCACCTCGCAGTGGCAGTCTTAGCGTGAGTGTCTTAGCAGGAATGAAGTGCAGGCCAAGGTGGGGCACCTAATACTGGCCCCCAGTGACAGTCAAGGTTAGCATGAGATGCAAGGTCTGTTCTTGTTTACTTGTGTGAGAAATACGCTCACCTGTCCAAACTCAAAGAACGGACCCAGACACATGGAGTACAGTGAAAGCGAGACTTCAGTGGCCATCTTGGAAGATCAGGTGCCTGACAAGCAGACACTGGAAGCATTATATTGTCTGGTGTGCAAGTCTCTCCTCCATTTCCTCATTGGCTGAGTACTATGGGGTGTACATTCTTCTCCAGATGTCACCTAGACTCCCTATTGGGTTATTTAAAATATGACTGTCTTGGGAATGGTCAAAAGTGGGCTTTAAGTGGTATCGCCTCCTTTGTGGCAGGAAGGTCTCCCTGTGATATGTGTTTTCTGGCACATATGGTTTTTACCCATTTCCTCATTCTATCGTGATTTACCCCTCCCAGTTTAAGTTTTCAGTTGGCCCTCCCCCAACATCAGCAAGCTGACACACAAGCAAGCTGCCAGAGTTAAATGCCTTGCCTTGAAAATGGACCCCCACAGACTATTTCCAACACTTGACACCAAAAGTGATGGGTGTATTAGGATTAGAACAGACAATTCCCAGTCAGACAGGTGCTCTGGGGCCCCACAGCCCTCCCAAAAGAGGTAGAGACCAGCTGCTTTATCTTTGGAGCCTGTGCAGAACCAGAGATGGCACCCAAGTGGAAGTGGGGCCCAGACCTAATGTAGGCAGGCCAGAAGCAGCACAGGAGCTGGTCACAAAGCCTTCTCTATGGTGCCTCTCAGCACATGCACACACACTAGCATGTGCACACACAGCTAGAAGCCACAGGCACAGTGACAGGCAGCAAAAACGTCACAAGAGAGGGAACCAAAGCATGTGCAGTCTGGCTTCTTGTAGCATCAGACCTTGAATAAAATTAGTTTTAATTAGCTGCACTTGAAGGTACCAGACTGCAGTGTCTTCGTTTTTCCTGCCAAACTGGAATTTTACTTGTCATCTGTCTTTCTTTATAGCATCCCAATTAGCAAACTAGGAAGTGCAGTCCCAGTTTGGAGGAAATTGAAAAGGCAGAACACAGAAATAAAAGTAACTTCTGGGATTTCACCATGAATAAGTTAGGAGAAAGCACCACGGTTGCCCATGTACTGCTGACCATGCACTGTAACCAGGATAATATAATGAAGTGGTCAGGACCATGCCGGCCACACAGCTTGCTCAGCAGATACTGGGTTATGATGTCACAGTCACTCTACAGAGGACACTGGGTTTGTTAGGGGGCCTGAGAGGAACTAACCTCTATCCCATGTGACAAGCAGCACCCTTCTGAAACCAACCTTCACACCTGGACTCACACCTGCTTATTGCCAGTCAAAAGCATCCTCCACTCACATAGGCTGGGGAGTGGGAGGTGGACACTAGGAGGATGGCCAGGCCTTGTCTTGAAGAGGGGCTGCAGGCAGGGTCAGTGCAGGAAGCAGGGTCAGCGCAGGAAGCTATGAGGCATGGGAGACTCAAGGACATGTGCAGGTGCAGACGCCAAGCCCAGGGACCATTCCTACAGGCGCTCCCTGCATGTGTCCCAGCAAGAGCTTCCGTGCACCGCTCGCTCTGTGTGGAAGAGAGGCTGGCCAGAGGTTTAGGCTAACTGTTCAGCAGAGTTCATTTGTGGGTTGTTTGTCTCAATTTAGAGATCTCACCTCAGCTTCTAGAGTAGGAAATGTTTAATAGAACCTTTAAAATGTTGGCTTATAGGGCCTGATGTGGTAACTCACATCTCTAATCCCCAACTACTCAACAGGAAGCGATCAGGAGGATTGCAACTCAAGGTCAGCCTGGGGGGAAAGTTAACAAGACCCCCATCTCAACTAGCAAGCTGGGCATGGTGGGGCACAATGCAATCCCAGCTATGTGGGAGGCATAGGTAGGAGGATCACAGCGCAGGCCAGCCCCCAGGCAAAAAAAGTATGAAACTCGATCTAAAAAATAACTTAAAGCAAAAACATGCTGGGGACTTGGCTCAAGTAGTAGAGTACCTGCCTACCAAGTGCAAGGCCCTGAGTTCAAACTTGGGTACCACCAAAAACCAAAAAAATTGGCTTCTGTGTTTTGAGGATGGAGACTGTGCACTGTTGTGCTCTGTGCACTGTTGTGCTGCTGTGTGGCCAAGAGTGGCCTCTAGCTTACGGCACGCTGTCGGGTCTCTCCTGCAGGACTACGTGCTGGCCGTGGATGCGTACCGCGAGGTCATCAAGTACCACCCAGAGCAGGAGCCGCAGCTGCTGAGTGGCATCGGCCGTATTCTCCTCCAGGTACCAGCCGATAGGCAGCCCACGCCAGGGTGGCACTTGGGAATTCCATGACTCAGGATTTAACCTCACAAATGCAGGGAACGGTGCAGGAATATTTCAGTTCAAGTTAGTGTGGCTTTAAAGTGTTAGATCTTCACAGCAGCTCTGGATTGGCCGCCTTAAGTCTTGCTGGCCTCAACATGATCTGGAGGCTAGCTGCTTAGAGCAAGTCTGCAGACTCATCTGGTCACTGAGGAGCCCTTCAAGAGCTGTCCAACTGGGTCAGAAACAGAGGGCCACATATCAACCTAGCAGGCTGATAACTGTAGCAGCTGGAAACTGTCTTTCCATGGATGGCACTCAAGTGTTCCCTGGCAGCCTGCAGCAGTAGCCTCAGTTATGTTGCCCACCCCCCACCCCCACCCCGCAAGCCAAGACTGCATTTTTCCTGGGATGTGTGGTGATAGGAAAGGCCCCATCCTCATTTCTGCCAGTCCCAGGACAGCAGTCCTCAGCTATGGGCTGGCAGAAGGTGGGTTCAATGCCCTCTGTCCCTTGGGCCCCTAACGGTTTCTGAGCTGGGAGAGAAAGGGAGGGGTAGGCCAGGTGGGAGGAGAAAACTTGACACCCACAGACACTTTGCTGTGCTACCTGACCTTCTGGTGTTACTGGCCTATGTGACAGATTAGCAAATTGCGGTTTATGGTTCAGTGGCCCAAGGAGGCTGCATGGATGACAGGGAGCAGGGATATAAACAGAGTCTCTGTGAGCCCAGAGCCATGCTCGTTAACTGTGACCTCTCCTCACACACACACACACACACACACACACACACCCAACGAATATATGCATGTGCATACACAGGGTACCTCCTCCTCCAGGGTTAGAGGACAAACCCACTAGCATGGCCTTGTTTGACCATGCAGCCTGTCCCAGAGTGCTGCAGGGTGACCTTCCCCAGATACATGGCACAGATGCCAAGGAACATGCTCTCAAGAGCCCAGTGACAGGGCTGGACACCAAGTGGTGAGCGTCACCTCCTTACCTGCATACCAGCTGCTCCTAATAACACTTGTCAGGTCCATGTGACAAAGAACACTGTGTGCTGGGGTCTAGCAGGTACCCCATGTGCCATCACCACCACTCTTACTGTCACATTAAAGCCACATCTGCTCCAACCCTCCCTGCCCTGAGACAGCCTCAGGAGCTTCCTGCAGGAGTCTGAGTCTGCCTCATCGAGAAGGTGATGCTGGAAATTGGCACCTGATCTGTGCTCAGCTTCCAAGCCTTTCTTAGAAGCTAATGTGTTGTGATTTGTTTTTTGGTTTTTGTTTTTGTTTTGATTTGAGCTTGGGGCCTCACACTTGCTAGGCAGGCACTCTTACCACTTGAGCCACTCCACTATCAGTGTGGGGATTGTGGTAAGCAGGCTGCTGGGGCAGCTTCCACTAGATGTCCACCAAGTTCAAACAGATGGCTTCAGGTTTTTACCTCTCAAGAACTGTTCATCCAGCACTGCCTACTAGTGTCTTTGCCATTGCAGAAGAACAAACCTTTGAGTTTTGTGTTCTACGAGATGTCAAGATCAGAACACTTGCTGTTGACAGTGTCTCTGGGGCATCGGCTGCCTCATCAGAGTAGCCCAGGCAGCCTCAGTGAGGCTGTACCATACGGGAAGTGTAAGTTCAGCCACTAATAAGGTTTTGGGTCAGGTGGGTCAGCACACATCTGGACATTCCAGACCTAGGGAAGGAGTATGCAGGCAGGCTTCATCCTCAAGGACCACACCTTTGTGTGGGGCCATTGCTGTGGTGATCTCAAGCAAGCCAACAATGGAGGAGCACCACATATGTACCTGTTGGGTGAAGCTGACCCCGCACGTGGGTCAAAAACATCCTGGGTCCTCCCCTGAGTCGTGGGGACCAGCCCCTCCATACCCTCTCCAGTGCTCAGCAGGCGCTAAAAGGTGGGGCAAGTATGGCGTTTAATATTGCGAAGCTTTGTAACACCACTGTTGTCCTCAGTGCCTCCTGCTTTGCGCTTGGCCTTCCCCTGAAAGCTGTCGTTACCCTTTTCCTGAGCCTCAGCTGCTGCTCCTGCCATTCATACTTGTCAGGGCGCCTGCTGGGCGGCGGCATGGCCTATCAGGCAAGACGTATACCTGGGCCCTTCCAAGTTTGGCCTTACCAATGTTTTTGCAGCCCACAGTTTTCTTCTCCTCCTGTTCCTCTGTCCTTTCCCAGAGGGTATGCCCCAGCAGAAACACTTTTGCATGGTTAACAACCCTACAGTGCTGCTCTCAATGCCTAATAGACACCTTCCTCTCCTTCCACCTGTGCAAAGCCCTGCCCCTGCCCCTCAAGGGCGCTAGAGAGGCAGACTTTCCCTTCCTGCTCCTCCCCAGGCATGGAAGCGGAAAGTCCAGGCCAGAAGCCAGGGTGTGTGGAGTTGGGACAGTGTTCTGGGCAGAGTTGGCTCTGCAGGTATCTCACTGCACAGGTTGACTCTCGTATCGAGGATCACTGTGCAGAGTAAGTGGTATCCATGTAAAAGTGCCTCAAGGCCTGGGCAGGACAGCTAGTGCACGGTTGCTGCTCTGTTTGCATGTCTTGCCCTGACCCTTGCTTGGGGGCTGCAGGGTCTCGCCCCTGTTTCACAACAGATCCAGTATGTGGGCTCATTCTTTAGCAGGCTAGAGGGCAGAGCTCGTGTGGTCAGAAGTTGCCCTTTAAACCTTGGGACGCTCGAGTACTAAGGAGAATTACCGGCACGATCAGATCGTTGCTCTCCAACCCAGACCCTTCCTGCTGGGGTGGGGCTCAACTTCATTTCAGGATTAGATGGGCCCCAGCCCACTGTCTAAGACTGCAAGCAGATGTGAGAAGATTTGACTCGACTCAATTCGAAGGATTTGCTCCCACTGTTAAGAAACAAGACTCAAATTTGTTTCTGTGACAACAGAAAACAACACAAACGCCTGTTCCAGAGGTCAGAGCAGGAGATCTTAGCGCGCACAGGTGTAAGCTTTTAGCATTTGGCAGGTCCCTAAAAGAGGGCCCCAGATAGGAATCAGGGATCACAAGCACATAGCAATTTTGCTTCAAGCCTTTGTCATTATAAAATACTTGTAATCAGTGCAATCTCTAAATTGAGCTTTCTTTTGAAACCATTCCTAAATGCATTGTTGACACTGTACAGAAAAAGTATTTATATTACTCTAAGCCCTTTGTGCACTGTATTTTCAGGATATTAGGAAGGGTAAACATGCATAAGAAAACACATATATTAGTAAACCTGTCTCGTCGTGAGTAATGACTTGAAGTGCCTTGTAAGGTTGGAGACCAGCAAATCAACAGAATCCAGAAGCAAAAAAGCTTATTACAGTGGTAGTAGTTTTGTTCAGATTAATTTAATATCCGCTGGGTGAAAAATAATCTTAGTATTTTCGGTTCGTCCGTATGTATGATTGCGAATCGTCATCGCTTCGCATCTAATTTGGGGCTTTATGTGACTAGAGTTGCTTATATTTAATCTGTTTTTTTCGGCCTTCCTTGCCAGAATTCTTCTCCATCCCAGAGCCCCAGCCCTTGTAGGGCTGTACCGAATGACCCACCATGTCTGGATGCCAGAAGTTACCTCTTGCCGGCATCCAAGAGTCTTGAAAACTGAATATCAGATCCCCCTTCTCCCGGCCTTTGGAAGAGCCATATGCCCAGGCAAGCATCCTTTTGGGGGGACCCACATCAAGAGGGCACACAAACCTGCCAGCCAGTCTGGGATTGGCAGTCTTCTGGCCTTCCACCTTGAAAGACTCATGCAAAGAGGAGAAATTGGTGGCATTAGGTGTTAAGGGCAGCCAAGGGTGCGCACAGCCAAATCTCAATGCTGAGGTCATAAAGAAAAATGCATGGGAATATGGACTCGTGGTCATTTCCCTGAGTAAAGCTGGTTTATAAAGTCTGTGTGAAGTAGAAGGCAACTCAGTGTCCTATCCACCATCTGTAATGCTATCTATAGACTTCGGAATGGGGGGGAGGCACCATGTCATGTGTTGAAGATTGTGACAATGGCCCAGGCATGGAAGCTAATGCCGGGCGTAATGGAGGGGGAAAGTATCCAGCAAATAGCTGTTGTTGCCACTGTGGAAGTGCAGGAGTCAAACATGGATTGAGCCCTTGACTGGAACATGGGACAAGCTTCCCAACTTGGTCCAGGTGGAAGGGAAAAGAGGGGACGATGGCCTTACAACCAACCTTCAGAAACGGAAGAGCACCACAGTAAGACCCAGGACCACAGTGCTTAGGTCAACCAGGCACCAGACTCGAGACTGCAGGAAGAGTAAGTGTTGCCACAAGCATCGTTGCAGAGGAGGCAGAGGAGAGCCAAGGGCAGGAGAGGCCTGCAACATGTTTCTGTAGGACAGCACGAGTGGCGGGAAGAAGCTGAGAACCAGCATGGGGAAGTCGAGAGCTGCTGGTGGAGCCAAGGCTTAACTCATATTTGCTCTAAGATTTATGGTGTCTCTCAGGTCAGGGAGTGATGACGCACCAGCCCAAAGAGGCTGGACCATGGGGTGCTCTGCCTGCTAACATATATCCAGGCTCCAACCAGACTGTCCACCTTTAAATCTGCCAGTTCACTGACGTTATTCACCCTCAAGAAAGCAGCTTAGAAAGAGGAGCTGACTTCTGCTCATAGGGCTGTGGATCTCTGCCAACCACTCCCTGCAAAGCGTGCAAAACTATTTTTTTAATTTTTAAAACCATTTCAGCAGCTGAAAACGGTCCTAAGGACAAAAGGCAAATGAAGAAACATCTATTCAAGAACACCTACAAAGGACTGTATTGTTCAAACGCTTCCTTTCCACCCATCCCAGCCTCAGGCTGGAGAGGCTCCTTCCCACCTGCCCCCAGTCCACAGTGGCAGGGGGATGAGGGGCCCCCTCCACTCAGCCCCACTGGGAGGCCCAGGGCACTGTGGGCACAGTCTGTTGACTGGCCATCCCCTTGGCCCCCTGATTCCCACCATCTGAAGGGAAGAGCCCTGGACTGAGATAGCCAGACCCTCCTGGCTCAGGTCACAGCTGCCTGGGGCAGCATTGAGAGCTTGTGGCTCAGTAACTGGGCAGTGGAGTTTGCTGGTGTTTGTCAGAAACAAAGTGGGGAAAGGCCTTGCCTCTGTCACCCCAGCCAGTCTTCATGATCTTGGGCTGGACACCTAAAACTCATAAGCAGAAGAGACAATGTCATGCCTAAGTTGGACTTCACCAAAATTAAAAGCTGTTCTCCTTCAAAGATACCATGAAGAAAGTAAAAGGACACCTTACCATGGAGAAAAAGATGTACAAACCCTAGATCTGATAAGAGCTTACATGCAGACTATGCAAAGAAACCCTTGCTACTGTTGAAGAAAAAAGTATTCGTGGCACTTGTGACAGATGTAAGACTTTACTCCAGGGACCAGGCAGTGGGGACTTCAGGTAAGAGGAGGGAATTGGTGGGACCTCCGCTTTCTTCTCCAAGGACAGATGAGGAGTTGTGACCAAGGAATGGGTGGGGTCAGTGGCTAGGGAATGAGAAGAGGAAGCAGGGGGATGACTTTTTTTGGCTACCTGACTCAATAGCATTGTTGCTAAAGGCAAGCCTGGTGGTCCAGATTGCCCACAATGGCCAGGCAACTGAGGTCAGGGAGTGCCTAAGCTGGCTTAGCAGGATTCTTGCTCATGCTGAATTCTGCAAGGATGAAGGCTGAATTCAGAACCTCACTCAGTTCAGTCAGATCAGAAGTCTCTTGTCCGAACCAGTAATGAAAACTGGAGCCTGAGAGAGCCGGCCATTGGGAAATCAGGCCAGAGGAGCATGCAGTCTACATGTGGTTCATGCCTGCCTGGGCCTCCAGGTCTGCAGGGAATAGGTGGGCGAGGGCATCAGAACTCAGGGCCTCATCAAACCAGCGTGTTCATGGGGACAGATGGGAAGAGGTGCTAGTGAAGGAGAACTCAAGTGAGAAAATAAGAAGGAACCCGGATGCTTTATTATTTGAAGTTCAGTAACCTGAGGGAGTTTGCCCGTTTGGAGCTACCAGGTTTTCTGATAAATCTTAAAAAATGAAAATCTTATCAATTTTAGACCTGTGTTTCTGTAACTGAAATTTATCAATAGCAAATTTGAAAATATCAGGGATTTTTAGCTGACTTAATCTACCTGAACACCCTGAGGTGACTGTTGAAATAGCTGTGCTGTCTCTGGATGTGTCCACAGTCATCCAGTCCCTGTCACAGGGAAAGTTGTCCTCACTGTCCCTTCACTCACAACTGCAGGAAACAAGACATTCAGGCTTGAGGACATACTAAGGTGGTCTCTGACCATCCCCAACCTGCTTCAGGGCCAACATGATGGTGAGGAATCCAAAACCATGACCAGGAGAAAACAGACGAAGAATGGCCAGGTGGAAGCAGGGTGACTGGGCACTGTCCATGGATCCACGTCAGAACACAGGCCTCAGCCCCTGCCACATGGGAGGTGTACAGCACCACCTGGAGGCTTCTGAGGGGAGAGTGCCCTCCTCCTGGTGTCCACCTGAAAGAGCTCAGGCATGAGCATTTGGTTTCTGCCACAGAAACACATTAGGGGTTTTCAGGGTTTGTTTCACTTTTGGGGGAAGGGAGAGCTGCAGGAAGGTGATTTCCAGATATGCTTACATTTATAATTGTACATGACATTGGTCTCTGGGTTTGTGTGTGTGCCCGAGCAACTTCCCAAAAGCACTCAGTGATGTTTATTGTCATAAACGTAAGTTAGAGGCTTTCCTTCTTTCTTGGTTCTCTGAAAGCTTCTGAATAATTTGGAATTATCTGTTCCGTGAAGGTTTGAATAATTCACTTAAGAAACTTGGGGTGCCGCTGAGCATTTCTCATAATTTATTCCTGTTATTAACCTGCCTAGCGCTCTGTCCCTGGGGTTCTTCTCCATTTCTGGGATCAATTTTGACAACTTATCCTTTTCTAGAAATCCCCATCAGGCCCTCATATTTGCACGGATCTGCGTGGAGTGCTGCACAACCTCCTTTGTGTTTACTTCAGGTTCTTTTCTACCTGTGGCTCTTTCTCCTGTTACACTTCTAATTCTGTGTGTGTGCTTTGTTTTTCCTGATTAACTTAGCTACTTATTGTTTGCCTTTTGCTTATAATAACTAGTGCATTTATTTAGATTTCTGTAATACCTTTAATGTCTCTCTATATTGTTTATTATATTTCACCTGTTCTTAGAACTCAGTAGGATTTGAACCCTATTTGCATGTTAGTGCTTAGGAAGTGGAAACTTACCTTCCGTCATCAGGAAGCTCCAAGGTGGCTGCTCTCTGCGATTTTCCTTCCAAGAAACCCCACTGGAGGCCTCCCATGCCGAGGGTCAGCACGTGGTTCAGGTGTGGGCAACCTGGGCTCTAGGGCCCTGACCTTGACTTACCCTGAGGGGGAAATTGCCTCAACTTCCAAGTTCTCATTTTTTTTGGTCCAGAAAGTGAAGCTGATGACAGTGTCTACAGCACAGCTTGAGTTGGAGGAGCCGAGGTTGAAGGGCTGAGTACAGCACCTGCACGTTTAAGGACATGACAACTCTCCATCATGAACTGCAGTAACTTTCAAGTCAACCTTGAACATGTCCTGCTAAACAGACTCCGGTGAACAGCTGCAGCGTCATCTGATGTTCTCAAAGGGCCGTTCCATTGAGCCCTGCTGACTGGGATTTCTTTTAGTTGGTCAGTGAGTAAGAAGTCTAATGGGAGGCCCGCTGCATCAGCAGTAGGAAACACTGGGCAAATGCCACTCTCGGTTCTCCATGGATTTCACTTACTGCTCCTTCTTCCTCATATTGATTTCTTTTGCAAGATGGTGTCAACAGCTAAAGGTCAGGTTTATCCTGCTTACAGCAGGGACTGGTCCTACTGTGAGTTCACTGGCCATTGTCCATTTGCTGTCAACAAAAGACAGGGAGTTTCAAGGTCAGTGACAAAGGACATCATCACTCACCGGGCAACTGTGTGAAGAGGGCAGACGGCTGCAAAGGATTGCATTGCTGGGGACACCCGAATCTTGGGTTATTGGGCCAGAAGCAGGCCCACCCTTCACCCTGAAAGACACATTCAGAGCTCCAAAGCTGTTCTCTTGTTCAGAGAACCCTGAAAAGACGGTTGGATGGAGAGCAGCAGAAGCCTCGCTGCAAGACAGGCAAGATCATAACAACCTTGAAGCATCCTTCCAGCTAGTCCTTTGAGGAGCAAGCAGGACTTCTTAAGATGATGGAGGGACACCTGCGAAATGACAGGTGTGACAGTAAAACTTATCCCTTAGCTATGGATCCTTGGTGCCCACATCCACTCATTTAGCAGCCAAAGGACAGATACAAGTTGTTTATTGTATGGTCAAGGACAGTTTTGTATAGGACTGTCACTGTTACAGGCCTGCGTACCTGGGTATTCTGAGTGATGTTTCCTCAGCTTTGCCCCTGGCACTTAGGGACATTTGTTTTTCCTACCCTTGGTTGTGGTTTTTGCCATTACGAATTTTTCTTTATTTTCATGTACTTTCTCATTTACAAAACCTTACTTAGAGCATTTGATTTCACTTTCAAGCAAAAGTAAAACCTGAGTCTCCCTTTTAAAAGCCAGCTGTGGTTCTTCAGCAAGATGAAGAGGTGGAGGAGGGTCAGGAGGATGTGGGTGGGGTTGGAAACCACATCTCCATCGGGTGCCCCACCTGGGGGCCCCACTTTGATTGACTTAGGAGCTGTGGGTTCCTCGTGGGTGAGAGGCATTTGTGGGTTTGTTCTGGTGTGGTTTTCTTATGTAGGATTCTGTGGTATTTGGTCAAAATATTAGCTTTTGAAATTTGTAAAACTTGATAATACCTACTATTTTACTAGCCACAAAATACTGACTTGGGGCCAAACCATTGTATACCAAAAGTCTCTGTGTTTTTATTTTTTTTTATTAGTCTTGTATTTTTACTTGGTCCTGTTCCGGAATTCATTTTAGAGGGCTCAAGTTACTAAGCTATAAGTCTTAAATCAGGCGTGCATATTAATGGACTTAGTTTCTGACAGGAAGTGAATTGGACATTATCCTATGACTGCTGAGGTTTCCTGGCCTGACACAGAGCTGGCCTCATATTCTCACATGTCACCTAGGGAACATCTGTGGGTGTAGATTTAATGTCTTTTGAATTTGCCAACTAAACTGACTAGGTAATTTTATCAAAACAGATTGGAGACATCAAAACTTGCTGAAAAGTACTTTCAAGAAGTTGAGAAGGTAAACGCAGAAATTGGATGGTTAATGTCTTTGAATTTGCCAACTAAACTGACTAGGTAATTTTATCAAAACAGATTGGAGACATCAAAACTGCTGAAAAGTACTTTCAAGAAGTTGAGAAGGTAACGCAGAAATTGGATGGACCACAGGGTAAAATAATGGTCCTGATGAACAGGTAAATATTTTCAATTGAATGTGCTTCTCCTCAGACCTCCCCAACAGATCGCCCTCCTCCAGGGAGCAACCCCCTCCCCATCCCACACCTCCACAGTCCTCAGAGCTGAGACCCAGGGGCATAGGCCCAGGAGGCTCACAGGTGTCTTCTGCAAGTTCAGCCTTGTTCTTAGCCATCTCCCATTCTTCAAAGTGCTGCTGTGTGGCCCTGATTTCAGCACAGCTTTGCATAAATGTTTACTGCCTCTGGCACATATACCATTTTGGATTCATGGTGCTGCTACTCCAAGATTGGTTTTTGTGTGTCAAACAGCATGATAACAGGCCACTTTGGGTATGTGCATTCATCAACAACCTGCCCGGTATAGAGTGGGTGGGCCCAGGTATCAGAAATGACAGCAGGGGTCAGCTTTTAGGGGATGTAATCTTAGGCATAGTCACCATGTGTGGACTAGAATCTGTGTGGCCGTCAGGCGCAGCCAACACGCACAATGTGTTTGGTCATCTATAAGGTCACCACTTCCATCTGAGAACACGCATCCTTCATGCCATGCATGCCTCATCCACACTGGTTCCCACAGTGTGTGGTGAGCCCCATCTGTGATTGGTGTGCACAGGCCCTCGGCTTGGTGGGTTCACTGCTTTACCTGTCACATTACAGAGCCTTCCTTCACCTCGGCCAGAATAACTTTGCAGAAGCCCACAAGTTCTTCACAGAGATTTTGAGGATGGATCCCACAAATGCAGTGGTAAGATGCCCAGCTAGTAATGGATTCAGTACCCCAGGACCCTCACTTCTGCTTTGTAGATGCTAGAAACATACATGCCAGTCAGTGGTCACGCCTCTGTGCAGTCCTGGCACCGGCAGCTGCAGAGGTTCCTGGGGGAGGTGCCCCAGAAAGGGAGGGAACAGAGGCTCTGTCTTGGCAACTGTGCCCCAGCATAGGTCCCAGGGCACCACTGGGAGCTGGCAGGCAGGTGTGGGCGCTACCCTGAGCACATCTCTCCAGGCCAACAACAATGCTGCTGTGTGCCTGCTGTACCTGGGCAAGCTGAAGGACTCTCTGCGGCAGCTGGAGGCCATGGTGCAGCAGGACCCCAGGCACTACCTGCACGAGAGCGTGCTCTTCAACCTGACCACCATGTACGAGCTGGAGTCCTCACGCAGCATGCAGAAGAAGCAGAGCCTGCTCGAGGCCGTTGCCAGCAAAGAAGGGGACAGCTTCAACACGCAGTGCCTCAAGCTGGCCTAGCCTCTGCCAGGACACTGTGCTGTGGCCTGGAACATCAGGTCTTTGTATCCTGTGGACATTGGAGCAAATATGTTACAGCCACTGGCAGAATCAATAAAAGCCTGTTGCCCTGGTGTCTGGGAGCACATCTTAGCTGGGGCCATGCTCGGGATAAGACTTGCTTGCCTGCTGTGTGTCCCTGCAGCGAGCACTGCCTTTGCTGAATACAAGGGGGACTGCTGTTAGGATGGCATTCACAGACAGGAACCCACAGGGTGTATCGGTCCCTTGAGTTTATTCCTGGAAGCTAACCTGCTTCATTTACTAATTCTGAATGTCCGCACAGAAACACTGGTACATGTGATATCAACTATTCTCACTGTAGGCCTGAATGTTCTAGACAATTTATAAATCACAGGAAAAAAACACTAGACACAGATTGTTGTTGGTCCTTTTTTCCTCCACACCCAAAACTGAACACATCACTTTCCTTACCTGAGTTCTTTCCACCCTGGGCAGCCTGGGGATGGTTGGAGGAGCTTTTGGGGAGTCAGGAGGACAGACCAAGGTTGATACTAAGAGCACAAGCTGGTGTGGGGGGTTGTGACTCTGGCCCACATGTGTAGTAGTTGTGTATCCTTAATGCCTAAAGTCAGGACACTTGCTTATTAGTCACACAGTTATTCTCACTTTGGAAAATATAAAGCACCTGAAAGCAGCTTCCTTTAAATCAGCTTTATAATCTTTTATAAAGCATTTTTAAATCTTCATTTTATAGGCTATGTTGCCCAGTGGTAGCGCATGTGCCTGATGCCAAGTTTCCTTCCCCAGCACCACTACCAAAAAAAATAACAAAATCCATCCCCAGGTACCAAAAAATAAATAAATAAATAACAAAATCCATCCCCAGCACAACCACAAAAAAAAAATCCATCCCCAGCATCACCACCAAGAAAAAAAATGCCCATTGTTTTATTTTTTCCTGTATGTATCTTCACTCTCCATTTTATTTAAGCCAAAAAGGGAAACGCACCAAGGCAAGGAAGCAGCAGTGAATCCTTAGAAGCGGGACTTGCTCTGAGTCCTTTTCTTTCCATTATGGGGGCCATTTTCGAGGAGGGCTGTTTTGCGGAGGTGGCAAAGAGCCACTCTCGAGACCTCAGAATTTGGAGCAGAGCTAGAGTAAGCAGCAGCAGGAGAAGGTGCAGGGACCCAGACTCATCTGGGTCTGGCTTCCAGCCCAGGCACCCTGACTGCTCAGTCTAGATGTAGGGGCCCCCTCTCCAAGACTTAACTCAGACATGGCTGTCCATGAACCCATAGGAATTCTCTGTGGAGAAGAGAAAAAGGCTAGTGTCCTTCCCAGTCAAAATCTCCCTTAGCAGATCTCCATCCTCTCCTGGATCCTGGAGGTGGAATGAGGCCCATGGGGCCTATGCCCATTGCAGACTCATTGTGTTAATGTAACTCTTCCCTGCTGGGTGGGAACTGTGAAGGCAGGGACCACATCTGTCTCATCCTCCACTTCATCCCCACAGAGTGCACAAAGTTGGGCACCTAGTGTTGTTGAATGTCTCAGGTGAGCAGGAACCCCAAGAAGCCAATTTCTGGATGCTGGAAGTCCAAGTTCAAGGTTCTGGCAGGCGGGTATTGAGGGGGTGGGGGGGGTGGGGGAAGGGGCAGAAAAGACCCAAACATTGTATGCACATATGAATAAAAAAAATTTTTTAAAAATTTTTAAAGAGGTTCTGGCAGGTTTAGAGGGTCCAGTCTCTGCTTCCAAGATAACACCTTAAACAACATGTCCTCACATGTCAGAGACAGAAAGGCAAAAAGGATCAACTCCCAACCCCAGAGCGCTACGTTGTACAAGTCCCTGAGCCGTACTCCGGCTGTTTTACTTTGTGCTTGGGTTGTTCTGTTGCATGTCTGCACAGTTTTGAAATAAGGCAGTCTCAACACGGGTTGAACCAGATTGATCAACCATTAGAACAGGAGCAGAGATGAGATGGCTGGAAGGACCACTGGACACCAAGGACGCTTGGGAATAGCTTCAAAAAGAGAAGATAAAACTGTATTTTTTAAAGGTGACAAATGTGAAAGTTTTCCCTCAAGTCCGGCTTCCAGGATGAGAGCTGTGGCTTCTCTGGCAGTGAGTTTCAAGAGACATGTGTCTTCAGGTCATCGCCACTCAGTTACAGAACTTGGCCCTTCCAAGACCCAAAACAGTCCCAGGTCGGCTGTACATAGGATAATATGGCACAGGCTCCAAGTAAGCCAGGCAGATCAAAAGTAGGGGTTGAGGGCTCGAAGTGCGATTCAAGTGGTGGAGTCCCCGCCTAGCAAACAAAGCCACGCGTTCAGACTTTGCCATGGAAAACAGAGAAATCCCCCACTTTGCCTCTGGAAACCTTGGCACAAGACTGAGCTTAGGGGAGATGGCCACTCAGGAGCTGGGCAGTGGGGCTCTGCTCACACACGGTCTGTTGCTTGCAAGAATTTCGAAAGCACTGCCAAGCTGTGTCCCGTATCTAGAATTCTAGTTGAAACTTCCCCAATTCACACTGCACTTTTCTTTGTCTTAAAATAAGGTAAGTACATCCCCGACGTGTTTTCTAGAGCCATGAACTATAAAGCGGATGGCTAACCATTAAAGGGCTCGTGCACCAGTCAGAACAGGGACGTCGCTGGCTTGGCAGGAGCCGAGTCCGGCTTGCACGCGTACTCAGGACACAAGGGAGTGGCAAAACCAGTGACCACCATTACTGAATGAGCGGTGTGCCGAGCACCAAGTCGGCCCCATGTAGAGGCGGCCTCTGACCACAGCTTCACACACTGCTTGGACACCTGCTCCCTTTGGGCCCAGAGCTGACACCTTGTTCGTTGTGCTTCACGCATCCTCCAGCAGCTAGAGCCCGGGGTGGGCCCTGGAGAGGAAGATGGTGCCATGCCTGCCCCAGCCCTCCTATCGCCTCATCTGTTCTGCATATCTAACTGCTGCCCGGCCTCCTCAATGGCGATGGCATAGGGTCCGCCTCAAGGGCCTTTGAGAAACGACCCGATGTAGGGCCCAACCCCACCCTCTATTAGAAGCCCCTGTGTCCTGTCACCAGGGCTTGTTCTGCTTCATGAAGATCTGGTGACGGAGCTGAGGGCCTACCTCTCAAAGTGAGCGCTGACTGTGAGTCACACATTTGGATGCACCTAATTTCCTTCTGCCCAGACTCTGGATTTAAGCCAGAAATGGCACAGAACTGAGTGACCAGATGCTGCTTTCCTCAGCAGTGCGGGGCCACGCTGCAGCAGGCTCGGGCTGCTGGGCCTCCAGGTGGTGCTCTGGCTCCTTTTCCCCTAACACCATCTGTTCAGCTGCGCCTTGGAGTCATTCCTCATGTGCTCTGAGTGGCAGGCTTAGTTCAGCGTCCTCACCCTGGGGTCCCTAGGCCAACAGTATCAGCGTCTTCTGGGAACTTGTCAGAGACACTTCTTGGTCCACCCCAGCCTGTTGAACCAGAACCTAGGGTCTGGACCTGACAGTCCAGTTCACACAGCCCTCCAGGGACTTCTGGTGCTCCTGCAGCATGGAAACCAGTGTCAGATGCCTGGAGACAGGCATCATCCCAAAGGTCCCAGCCTGGAACCCTTCTGGCTGTATGTCCTTTGAGTCTCTGTCCAGTATCGCCCCTTGAAACCTGCTCTGAAGCCTGGGGGTGGCCTCCCATGGTCCATGCCCCTCTGTTGCGTTCATTCTGACCTTGGGACCCTCCAAGCTCCACTGCACCCACTCCTGCTCGGCAAGAGCAGCCTCCAGCCTCTAGTGCAGACCTCGTCTTCCTCCCAGTGTTCTTCTGGAAGTTTCTAGCTCTCTGTGGGCTGCCTGCTTCCCATGCCACAGAGTGCGGGTATGATGCACACACACACACAGAACTCAGTAAGCTGAAGAGCAGAGGCTCAACGTGGACAGGACAATCCTGGAGATGCTAGTGTATGCACTACCTCCAACACCTGTACAGCTCTGCACTCCTGTGGCCTCAGGCATGTGGTACAGAGCCAGCGCCAAGATCCCCTTCACTGATGCCAAGGCCAAAACTGGTTGTCCCCAGGTCCTGTTGACCAGGAACAAGACTTAAGCCCTGACTAGAATCTGAGACAGGACCAGAATGTCCTGCCTGTGTGGAGCCTGGGACAAAGGAACCAAGCCACCAGGACCCCAGCTCTGGGGGCACAGGGGTCGCCCTGCTGTCTGGGCACCATGTGGTGAGACAGCGTTTCAGAGCCACTGACACATCCAGTTTCATCTTTGCAGGTGAGGGAGACTCAGCACCCCCAAACTGAGTCCCACACCAATTGGGAGGTGAAGGCCAAAAACGATCCAAGGATGTCTTGTTTCCTGCAGTCCTGAGATCGTGGTCCAAGATTTGCCAGTCAGAGGATCGGTTTGGGGCCTCTGCATGAGAGCTGCACCGTGGGTGTCCTTCCAAGCTAGACCTGAACCTGACCACAGTGAGCTCCAAGTTCTGCCCATCGTTCTGCTGCCTCCAGGTTCTGGCATCCATTCCAACTCAGCACAGATCCTTTGAATAAATGAGGATAAACAAAAGTGCAAGAATAAACACAGCGCCGTGCTCTGGGCTCTTCTCCCAGGCAAGGAAGCTAAAGCAAAACCAGACTTCCTGGCCACACACGTGACGGAATTCCAGCTATCCTGGAAACCCAAGCTGTCACCACTGTCCAGTACGTGAGGCCAGGAATGGCAGGCCACTTGAAGAGGTTGTAGCCTTTGTGTAAAAACTCGTGCTGCCAACTTTCTTCATCACTCCTGATGAAGTTCACACATCCATTCAGGAGCAATCCAACCTTCTCCTTTTTCTCCCTCTGGGTCGTTAAGGAAAAAGCAAGCAAACTACTGAATGTCGCAAAATTCGCGCTCTGTGGCATCCGTGCTCTTCCAGTCTGTTGTCTGCATTTTACTGTGGGCTCAAGCACCACTCCCATAAAGTCATGAGAGCAGCGAGGTTTGGAACTTGCAAACTCGGCGAGCCCATAAACCCAGGGCTTCCTTGTCTGGAGTCGGAGCGCCCATCGGAGCGGGCCGAGCCTGGGAACACAGCCCCACGTCCGCCACTGGGGAGGTCCCTCCACTTGTCCAAAACCCTGCGGGTCTCAGGCCCATTTAAACATGACCACCTCCACAAAGTCCGTCAAATCACACTGCGAGGAATGACAGACTGCAGTGTGGACCACCTCGCAGGCACCTTTCTGGAAGGCCCATAGTGAGGAAGCGCCCAGGAACACAGGGTCTGGCTCACCCAGGTCCAGCCCAATGGAGCCCACACTAAGGCTTCGGGGGCCACACACATCCCTTGTTGCATTTTCTTTGTTGTTTAAGATACAGAAAATGCAGACACAGGCCAGGGGCCTCGATGCCCATGGGCCCTGGTCTTCTCCTTACGGAACAGCGCCTGGCACCTAGGACTGCCCCTATATGATCATTTGATGTGAATGTCACATCTTTGCAGCACAGCAAAGGGATGGAGAACACGAGTCTAGACTATAAGGGGCAGGTCCTGGCTGCACCCCTGAACTCCAGTGCAACCCTGCAGGCTCCCCTGCACATTCCGGGTGCTCAGGAAGTGTTGTGGCTGACCCTTCATGACCCCATAATACTGGTGACACAGTGAATGCATCAGTCCATGAATTGTGCGACCTCCACTAGGCAACAGTTTCTACAGCCACAGGCCCCCTGTGAAAGGAAGGTGGTGGTTGGTTATGACTTTTTTTTTTTTTTGGCAGTACTGGACTTTGAACTCAGGACCTACAGGCCACTCGCTACCCCCTTTTATTTTATGGGTTTTTTCATGATTATGGCCTCTCGAGCTCTTGCCCCAGGCTGGCT